GGAGGAGGAAGAAGGAGAAAGAGAAGGAGAAGAAGAAAGTTTTTAGGTGAAATCTAAAAGCCTAAAAAAAATAAATAATAATTTGACTTATGAATCTCAGGCCTGTTAATTAGCAACCATGTTCAAGGATACCAAAAGGTTCCCATCACTGGGTGTGATGGCATTAAGTGCCTATAAATTCTTCTCTTCTTCTCTCATAGAGCAGTAGGTTTGCATCCCAGCCCCCTTGAATCTGGCCAAACATAACCACATCGTCAACAAACTACAGTAACGAGTGACTTCCAAGACCAAGCCAAAGAAAAGCCAGGCAGCTCCTACCTCTTGGAATGATCATGCTGAGATTCCCACCTTGGGGTAATCAGGCTGAGAGGTCTATGGCCATGGAGAGGCCACACAGAGGTGGTCCTGACACACTCCCGGTGGAGTCCATCCTCATATCATCCCAGCTTTGACACAACTCATCAGAGTTGTATGGGCCCAAATGTTGTGTCTCTCCAAAATTCCTATGTTGCTGGGCATGGTAGTGCATGCCTGTAATCCCAGCACTGTGATTTGAGGCCATCTTAGGTTACATAGTGAGTTCAAGGCCAATGTGAACTACATAGTAAGATCCTGTCTCAAAAATGCAAAACAAGGGCTGGGGAGATGGCTCAGTAGAATAAGTGCTTGCCTTATTCTTATCTTTATAATTCTAGAAGTTGTTAATATGTCACTTTAAGAGTCTAACGTAAATAATAAAATACTTCCAAAGAATTTAATATTTCTGCTAAATATATTTGACTTATTATTGAGTACTTCAACCATCTATGTTAGCAAAAGGAAATCTGAAATATAAATCAGTATCTTAGAATTTAATATATTAACCTTATAAATGTGGTGAAATGTAAGTTTTTTAATGTTGTAAGTCTGGACATAAACATGATTTCAACTTAATGACATAATTCTAACTCAGTTTCTCAGTTGTACATTTCAAATTGTAGTTATAAATTTGCCATTCAAATAGACTACATTTTGTAAACATACAGATATTTTAGTGTCATTGTTTTATTTATGTATTTATTGCCTTGCTTAATTTTTCATAGTAAGTTGAAATACAGAATTATATACATCCCACAATGAATGTAAGCATTATGTACCGCAAAAATGTTCTCATACAAATTTTTAAAATTAAAAAAGAAGAAAAGATAGGCAGCACTTTCCACACACAGAAGAAAGGCCCTGCGAGAGCACAGAAAGAAAACAGCAAAACCAAAAAGGAAGAAAGAAGCTTTCTATAAGCCAAGAAAACTGATCTCTGGAGAAACTAGACCTGTTGAAACCTTGATGTTGGGTTTCTAGTCTCCAGAACTAGGGAAAAGGAACTTTTGTCGTAAAAGGACCATCCTATGGTATTTTGATATGGCAACCCGAACAAGCTGCTATTTTAAATTTTATTTTAGTTGAGATGGGGTCTTACAGCTCATAGAGCAGTAGCTCAGAACCTGAGTAACCCCAAACCACAACCTCCAGAACGCTGGGAGTACAGGCATACACTACCATGTCTGGCTACTTTTATTTTCAAATCAATTTAGTTAAGAGGAATTTGTTTACAAGTTAATCATATTAAGCACATGGGTCTGTGTTATCAGATACATATACTCATGGGCATGCATTTTTATTTTAATGTAGTTTTTATCTTAATAATTTCAAACTTTCTGAAAAGTTGTAGAACTTAAGATTTTGTTCCTTTTCTTTGATATTCTTCCCGCTCTGTGTGTTTTGCGCATGTGTGTCTATAATTTTCCAGAATAAGTTTTGAGAGTCAGCTACAGCTAGGTCTTCTTTCCTCTAAATACTTCATTACTGATTTCCTAAGAAGAAGTACATTAACTCATAAAACAACAAAAACACACTATTATTAAAATCAGGAAATTTAACACTGATAAAATGGTCCTGTATCCACCCAATTGGCCCATATTTCAATTTTAATTTTAACACAAAATGTTAATTCCATGATTTGATTCTCTTAGTTTTCTTGTTTTATAACAGATGCTTAGAAATTTCTCTCAAGTTTCCTTTCCAGCCTTCAGAGGAAGCCTAGCGGTGACACAGGTCCTGAAGGCTCTGGTCTTCTCACAGTTGAAGCCTTACTTTATCTCCAGTAATTGATTTTTATGGCCCTTCAAGTCCTTACACAGGGGCCAGGCAGATGGCTCAGTAAAATAAGCACTTGCCTGGCAAGTGCAAGGGCCTGAGTTCAATCCCCAGTTCTGGAAAAAAAAAAAAAAAATCAAATCATTACATAAGTAGTTGCTTAAGTACATGTAATTTAAATAGAGAACCATACAATATGAGCCATTTTTCATGATTAATAAGGGAGTAAGAGCAGCATCCAGGATGTAGCTGAGTGGAGAGCACTTACCCGGTACATGTGAGGCCTTGAGTTCCATTCCCTGCACCATTAAAAGAAAACAAAAAAGATGCTGATTTCTGGGTGCAGTAGAGATACAAGGGGTGGCCAAAAGATGCAGTAAATGCTTAAAGTTTTAAGAAGGCATGATAGGGCCAGGGATGTAGCTTAGCGGTACAGCACCTGGCAAGCACAAGGCCCTGAGTTCAATTCCCAGTACCAAACATGAAAATAGTTTAAAAAAAGAAATGCAAAGAAATCATTATAGTAAGACAAACACATTACTCTGAGCCCCCTCCAAGTGCTGCCCCACACTTTGAACACACTTATCCAATCATTCTTGCCACTTTCTGTGGCAGGTCTGGAAGTCCTCTTTTGTGAGTGTCCTTTACGGGGCATGATCAAGAAATACTGTGACTGCTGCTGCTGCCTCCTATCCGTTGCAGGGGCAGGCTTGTAGAAACAGTGCGTCTTCATCCACCTTACCAGATCTGGCATCCAACAACATCCTGCTCTTCCCCTGAGTCAAAATGACCATGGAAGGTAAACACTTTAAATCAATGTGGGCTTTGAGGCAACCATATCAATGTAACTAAAGACATGGAGGAAGACTTCTAGAACTGCTTCAGAAAGTTGCAAGAACACTGAGATCAGGGTGTTCAGCACAAGAGGGAGATTGCGGAGGGGGAGTAATAACATGTCTCTTACTGTGGTGAATTCTGGAAACGTTCAGTTGAATGTGCTGGTGCACACCTGTAATCCCAGCACTTGGGAGAAAAGAATACCATGAGTTTGAGGCCAGCCTGGGCTACATAGTGAGACTCTGTCCCAAAACAAAACAAAACGACTTACAAAAAAAAAAAGATGTATTTTTAAAAATCATATATTGTCTGAATGGGTCTACTTTCTTTCTCTTTTCTTCTTTTTTTAAATGTATTTGGTTGTTGAAGGGTCTCACTTCTCAGCTTGGACTCAGTGATCCTCTTGTTTTCAGCCTCCCAGTGCTGGGATTACAGGCATGTGCCACTATGCCCAGACTCTGTAGCCAGTTCAGCCTGCCCTGGGGGTGGAGCTGACCTGGCATGTGGTGCCAGCAGATCAAAATGCAGTTCCTGCGCTTGCCTACGCTGGTGCTTTAGTCTGCTGAGCTATCTTGCTGGCCCATTTTATTTTTAGACAGGGTCTCACTGTGTAGTTCAGGCTGGCTTTGAGTTCACATTGTAGCGATGTAGTGATGTAGCCTAGTCTGGCCTCAAACCCACCACTCACCACCTCCAACTCTTCCTGCTTCAGCCTCCAGAGTGCTGGGATTATACCGGCATGTACCACCATGACAGCTGGGTCTATTTGCTTTCTTTCTTTCTTTCCTTCCTTTTTTTTTTGGGGGGGGGCGGCTTTGATTCATTTTTCTTCTCTATTTCCCTTAGAAGAGAATAGCTTACATTCCATGTAGCATGGTGATTTGTGAAAAATATGAGTCCCATTTTCCATAGAGCAAAAAATAATTAAATATAGGTCAGAGTGGATGCTAAACATGTTCACAAGTAACAGGGCTGAGTTTGTCTACAGACCAACATTACTATTTATTTCTGAGTGTATTGTGCTGTTTCCTTCACATCTGTAGCTTAACAGGCTATGTTTTTGAAAATTTCTCTTGAAACCTACACAGCTTGATTTTAAAAAAGACAGACATCGATCCTTTAGCTGAGATCAGGAGCTCCTGCAAGGTTCTCACACTTTCTCCTGGACGACTGAGAAGTCTGTGCAGAGGCCAGACAATACTTGGTAGTCTTTTTTTTTTTTTTTTTTTTTTTTTTAGGGGAGGGTCTATAGGGTGTTCAGGGTCTCACTACTAGATTGGACTCATAGTGATCTGCCTGTTTCCAGCCTCCCAAGAGCTGGGATTATAGGTGTGTGCCACCACGCCCAGTCTCATTCAGCATTCCAGAGCGCCCCAGGGGTGGGTAAGGCATGAAAGGCTCCAGGATCGAACTCCCAGCCCCTGAGCCTGCTTGCAGGTGCTTTAATCTGCTGAGCTATTTGGCCGGCCTAACACTTGGTAGTCTTTAATTACACAGTTAGCTCAGTTACTTTTCTCTTCTTGCTGGGACAAAATATCTGACACCTAAAATTAAGGAAGGAAAGGTTTATTTAGCTCACAGTTTGTGGAGGCTTCAGTCTATACTCGGCTGGCTCCCAGGCAGAGTGGCACATGGAAGAGGGCAGCCGTTCATGGCAGCAGAACACAGCGAAGAGCGAAGGGGGGAGGGGCAGCAGCTGTGGTTGCGAGACAGCCTCTCCCTTCCTTCCACGCCGACTGTGAAGACCAGAACTCCTCCAAGAAAGTGGCAGCAGGTGCTGTGAAGAGCTCTTCCTAAGTGGCACAGCCATGTTGATCAAGCTCCTCTAAAGAAGTGGCACCAAATCCTTCCTCAAAACCTTTATATGCCCTTTTTGTGCTGAGTTACTCTGGGGTGGGCCCTCCCCGCCCTGTGGGGCAGGACCCCAAAGCCCAGGTTGTGGAACTGCCCAGGTGATCCAGCCAAGTTGAGCACTACAGCAGTGTTTATTATTTGACTCTTACAGGTACTGTTTTACTTTTCTTCCCTAGATTGAGACAAGAATTTCTACTACTACCCTGAGTGCTGTTGCAACTCCAAGGATTATAGACCTGGCCCACCCAAGGATCAAGTTGGAGGGTCTGTGCTATGAGAGAGAAAGAAGTGAAATGCCCATCCGTCCTGTAAGCCGCTGCCCTGTCCTCCTTCCCCTTTTGCTCTCCTTCTGGTTGGTCCCCAGTTTCTATTTCCTCTGTACAGGGCACAGCCCATAATCATTGGAAACGAGAATCTTGCGAGAGTATCTTGGCAGAAAGGGAGACCTAACTATATGATAGAGGGGGGAAGCGCAGACAGAGGAGAGGGGAAAAGAGAGGAGATGGGGAGAAGAGAGGAGAAGGGAGCAGGGAGGGGAGGGGAGAAGAGGAGAGAGGGAGGACCATTGAGGGCGAAGAGCAAACTTTGGAGTCAGTAGGAGCTGGGTTCAAGTCCCCACCCCACCACTACCAGCTCTCCGGTGTTGGGGCAGCCCCTCAGGAGCCACAGTCACAAGTGGCTGTGACCCCTTGGAGGGGTCCCGTGGGCCAGGCACAGTCCCGGGGAAGAGCAGAGCTCTGTGCCAATGAGGGGAGTCAAGCTAAAGGAGTAGAGACCGGAAGTAAGTGAGACTCTACGAGGAGGAGAAGATTCCGTCAAACGGAAGACTGGATGGCAAGGTCGCCAACTGGGAGCTTAAAGTCGGAGTGGGGGGAACAAGACAAGCAAACGCATTGTGGCGCCGCTGGTTTCCACTGGGCACCTGTTGGGGGATTAGAGGTGGCGGGGCGCTGGCCACAGAGCCCGGCTGTCCGAGTTTCCCACGCCCTTTCTCCCAAAAGTCTTCCCTGAGGATTGTGCCCGGCTCAGCTGGATTTCCGGTAACTGCCTACTGATCACAGTGCCAAGGAGACGCGAGCAGTCCCACCCCCTACCCTCACCCCTAGGTCTGGGAACCTTGAGCGAAGTCATTCTGGGAACCAACAACCCTGGGAAGGTGCTTTGAGTTTGCAGGGGAATGGGTTTATTTCCAGGTTTTTTGATATACAAAATGAGAATTCCTTTATTGTCAGGAGTGTTTCAGGTTTTAAAAAGCCATTAGAAAAGAGGAGTCCTGCTGCAGGAAATGCTCTTTTGTGGAGAGCTAGGGGAACACCTTCCCAGCTGCTGTGTGCTATTAACTGTCTTAAGTCTTTCCAACACTTAGCAAATAACAATAGTTCTGTGTCACCTTTCTTATTTTTCTAATAAAGCCACACAACAGAAAGACAATCCAGCAGATGTGGTTTTATCATAGGACTAAATAGGGATCAGTCAGCCAACATATTTAGTTGGGACCAGTTATATGCCAGAGCCTATTCCTGCTATTGACAACAGAGTACTTCCCTCGAGCAGTTTCTGGGCCAGTGCGGGAGAAGCAAGCAGTAAAACACTAGATGTGTGAATTCAGGTCTGGAGAGATGAGAGCAAGCTGAGGGTCACTGAGAAGGAGTCCCTGCTTTTGGTGGGGCCGGAAGACCTCCTGGAGGACTGAACGTTTGAGAAAGATTTGAAATAGGAAGAGGCCCCAAGCCAGTTTTCAGGCAGAACTGAGGGAGAAGGAGCTGGGATCTCAAGTGGCTACAGTGATCCAGGTGGGGAGGGGAAGACAAAAGGGTCAGAGGAATAGGACACAGCTGGGTCCCATAGGGACTTGTACAGGGACAGGAAGTGGCCTGCACTGTTCATTACTATTAGCAAACTGGGCAGCCTCAGGAGGAGTGTAAAACATGGGAGGGCCATTCTCTGCCTGGGCTTTAGAATTACTTCAGCAGGGTCTAGTGCCTGTCATCCCGCACTCCAGGAGGCTGAGGCATGAGCATCCAAGTTCAAGCTCAACCGTGGGAATTTAGCAGTGCAGTGGGACCCCATCTCAAAAGAATAAAAAGGGCTGTAGATGCAGCTCAGTGCAAGGGCCCCAGGGGGTCAGTCCTCAGTAACAGACACACAGATGCACACATACAGATGCCACGCACACACACACATAACAAGCACACACATGCACGATTTACCTCATGGAGTTGTTTTGGTAGCTACGTGGCAAGCACTCAGATCATAGTTTGTTGTGGAGCATGGTCACTAAATGTTCATTCTCGAAAATCTGGCTGGCTGGTACAGACAAGAATGAAGCAAGGAGACCAGTTAGGGGCCTCTAGCACAGTCTGGGAGAGAAGAGCCGCTAAGTGGACCGGAGCTTGTGACAGTTGGATATATTACCACATCTCTTTGTGTCCACTCTAGGTAACCCCTGCAGCCTTGTGTGCCACACCGAGCCGCCGAATAACTGCTCTAGCTCAGTCCAAGCCGCTTCATGAAGACTACCTGCCCGCCCGTGATGCCCGATGGCCGGTGTCTTATGCTGCTACCCATTCTAAAGCATCTCCCAGGATTCAGGAACTAGCCAATCCAAGTTCAAGGTGTGTCAGTGCAAGGCTAAGGTGGGGTATGTGGGGCTCTGGGGAGAGGGCAGAGGCTGATCTAATAAGGCCAACAAAGAGTACGAGGACAAAAATTGCAACAACAGCTCACTTACTTGTTAAATTTATTATTACAAGTCTTATCATAAGTATAAGGTTACCATCTAAAGGCTAGTGGACTAAGTCATGGAACCTCTAAAAGTATGGACATGGGATTATTTCCCTAACTCAGTATTGTTGAGTTAAAGAAATTACAGAACAGAGTATATAATAGGATGTGATATGTGTATGAAAATATACTTACGTGCCATGTATTGGCTTCACATGCCTGCAAGAAGTTAGGAGCAGTGTCTGTCTTTGGGGCCCTAGGGAATGGGAGTGGGAAGGTTTATTTTTCATTAATAGGCATTTTTCTTCAGTGTTTTTGCATCATATACGTGAGTGCACTATTTCAATTAAATAAGAGCATATAATTAAAGAAGACATTGCCTCTCATTCCTGCTCGTTTCTTGGAGGATCTCTTAAGTTGCCTTGATCCTTTACTTTGACCTTCAGGGGTAACTCTTGACTTACCCCTTTTATTGATTGATTGATTTTATTTTTTGAGACAGAGTCTCACTATGTAGTTCAAGCTGGCCTTGAGCTCACTATTGTAGCCCAGGCTGGCCTTGGTCTCACAGTGATCCTCCTGCCTCAGCCTCCTAATTCCTGGGATAACATATGTGCAGCATCACACCCAGCTCTCTCACCCCCTTTTAAAGAGCCTCTCAGAGAACCTAGAAGAAGCAGAAAAAGCATATTAGTTCTTATATATTGTTTTGAAAATATTATAGTTTTTTCTGTCAAAAAGAAATTTATTTTAAGGAAAGTATAAAAATAATAGAAAAGACATTAGAAGCAAACATATTTTAAAAAATGACATGAAAGTTTTCAACACACAGTTCTCAGAGTGTTCAATATTGCACATTGCTGTCTTCAAAGTTATTCCTCAGATTACAGATGTTAATATATAAAGTAGGCCAAAGTAAAAAATTTATCATTAACTGGTATCTTAAAAATACTGACAGAAATTAGTGGTATAATCATCTTAACTATGTGTATATAATTTTTTGAGAAATTTTATTTATTTATTTTTCCATAATTTTATTGAGAAACAAATAGCAATGAGAGAGTTTCAAATCAAATTGGTAGGACAGTTTCCATAATTAACACATTGCATACATTCTTCCTAGTGGTTAATTGCTGTACAAGATGCGGACATGATATCCTATTTACAAACACCATTAGAACAAGTCCCTCTATTCATTAAGAGAATGTAACTATATATCTATCCTAGCCACTTTAAATACACAGATATAAAATGGACATTCATCTGTATCCCTTTTTTTGTTAAGTTCCGTTATTTGAATATTATAGGTGTGTAAACTCAGCAAAATATTCTAAAAGAGTCCAGTATAGTTTTTAAATCTTTAAAAACAAAATTTTTAATCAAGTGAAATGAAACTTATTTTCTGTTCATTGATAAGTAGAAGGGAAGAATACACAGGAGCACTTTATCAAGGCTTTAGCCTACTGGCAGGGCAAGGTTATTGCTTGGTGGTCGGGTGCCAGGGGTATTAAACCTCAAAGTTAGATTTTGTGGGGGCGGTATGGGTGGCTCAGGGGTAGAATACTCACCTAGCATGTTTCAGGCCCTAAATTCAATCCCTAGCATCAGGAAAAGAAAAGGGAGGGAGGGAGAGAGAGAACATAGATTATTTTTTATAGTCCCCTAGGGGACTATCAGAAATGTCCAGAATTTACTGAAGAGCAAAGTGTTTGGATTCTGACAGCAAATCCCGAGCGGCGCACCACCATCTCAGGACCTCCCTGGCCTCCTCCTGCTCTGCGGGGCAGGGCAAGTCATGGATGTCCACGTAGGGAAGCAGCCGTGTTCAACACGTCGTTGTGCGTTGGAAACGTTAGCTCCTGTTTCGTATCCTCTCATCCCAGGCTGACTCTTTTCCTGCTATTCCAGGGGTCCCATGCATATCGTGTACTACGACCCTGATGTTTTTAAAGTCAAGCCGGCTGCTCTGAAAGCACAATGCTCAGCACGGGTCCAGAAGTTGGCGGAACCTCTCGAACGTTAAACGGAGAAGACCACGCCAGTCAGACCCTGGCTACGTGTCTGGGATATGTATCGGGTAACTTAGTTCCTCACCCTGGTATTGTCTGTCTTCCTTCTCCAACTGGCCCCCAAATATGAGACCTCGCACAGAACGCCCCTGCAAGCGTCAACAGCAACTGCTGCTGGACCTGTGGTGAAACTCTTAGCAGATTGCAGATGCAGCACGCAATAAAAGACATGCTGAGAGCTGGCCTTGTCGTCCTTCCTACCTCACCAGATGCCACTTTCTCTTCCCTCTCTCCCTTTGCCAGTGAGGTCCTTGTCATGATCCTGCCAGTCTCTTCTCTGGTAAGTCCTGGGAATTGAGGTCATAACTGCTGTTCAGAATGTGTGGCTGACAGTGGGGAATGGACTACCATAAAAGATCGCATCTTCAGCAGTCCCCTTCCTCACTTCCCCTTGGAGTCGCTTACTGTGAATGACTGAAGAAGCAAGATGCTGCTTTTGGGCCGGCCAAATAGTTCAGTGAATTAAAGAGCCTGCCAGCAGGCGTTTGCTGAGACCAGGACTTCTCATTGGGACGATGGGAGCTGACCACCCACAACTTCTCCCAAGGCACCTTCTTGCTTTTGGCCCTGCTTTTGCTATTTTAATCAGTGTCCTATAAAACCAGTAGCTAAATTTTTATGTAACAGCTTTTTATTCAGTGAATTGTTTGTTTGTTTTTCAGTACCATTGATTGAACTGGTACCAATTGAGACTGGGCGTGGTGGCACACGACTGTAATCCCAGCTCTTAGAAGGCTGTAAACAGGTGGATCACTACAAGTCTGATCTAGCAGTGAGACCCTGAATACCCTGTAGATCCTTCCCTAAAAAATACAAAAAAAAAAAGTTGCTTTTAACAGCAGAACGAACATTCATCTGTAGAATTGTGCAGTATTTTATTCTCTCCACACCACTGTGTGTTATAAATTAAACAAAATTTATGAAATAAATCTAGATTTGCATGAAAATAAATAGACATGCAAGCTTATTTTCAGATGAATGAGTTCTGTCTTTAAAGTCTTTTTAGGGCCAGTCAAATAGCTCAACAGATTAAAGCGCCTGCAAGCAGGCACAGGGGCCTGGGGTTCGATCCTGGGAGATAGCTCAGTGGCATAAGCGCTTGCCTGGCAAGTGTAAGGTCCTGAGTTCGATCACTGGTACTGAAAAAAAACAAAACAAAACCAATCAATTCACTGAGTAAATGGCTGTTATGTAAAACTTTAGCTACTGGTTTTATAGGACACTGATTAAGATAGCAAAAGCAGGGCCAAAAGCAAGAAGGAGCCTTGGGAGAAGTTGTGGGTGGTCAGCTCCCATCTTCCCTGTGGGGCGTCCTGGTCTCAGCAAGCAGTGCCTCCTCATGCTTGGCGACATTGTGTGGCAGTCAGGAAGTCTCAGCACTTGACTGGGTAGTGGACAGCTTCACAAGGGCTCATTATGGGACAGCATTACTGTGGCTATAATTCAGAGGATGATCCTTACTACAGAGCCCACACCAATTCAGAGAAGAGAAAATTGGTCCCCCTCCCCTCAGTCAGGCCAGGAGAAAGTGAAAGAAATGACACTGAGATTTCTAAGCCCAGGTCGTAAGGACCCTTGTGGGTCCTGCTCTTTGCATTATGGGAAGAAGCCCAGACTCCTGGAAGGACCATGTGGAAAGAGACCACATCCATTCCACCCCTCTGGACCCTCTGCAGTAGCCTCTGCCTGAGAGATCCTGTGGAACAGCAGAAGAGCTGCCCAACTGACCCACAGCATCAGGCCAGGAAAAAAATCTTACTGTTTTGGGATAGGCTCTATAAAAGAAACAAAAAGAAATATTTTTGGTACTGGGGATTAAACCCAAGGCCTTCACACTGAGCTACACTCCCAACCCTTTAAAAAATAAGTTTTTTTTTTTTAAATTTGGAGATAGGATCACCTTACATTACCCATCCTGGGCTTGAATTTGTTTCAGTTTTCCTGAGTGCTGGGATTATATGCGTAAGTCATCACACTTGGCAAGAAAAATATTTTTTTTTGTCTTTAATTCCCTTAGTTTCATACTTGTATAGGGGAAAGGAAATTTTCACTCTACTTTGTGAAGATTCAGTAGTTGAGACTGCAGAACCAAACTGACGATAGACTAACACGAGGAGGGGCCCATAGTTCTATGGCTAGCATGGGGACACTGGGAAAGGGAGGATTCAGTAACACAGTGAAGATTAGAAGCTTAGACACCCTCTCTTAAAGAGGGAGAAAGCTGCCTAATAAGAGAGAGAAGTGGGTACATTTAGGGGAAGAATAAACAAGCTTTAGGGGAGATGAATGAGTTCAAAGAGCAGACAGTAGCTTGAGGTGTTTGTGTGGGCTTTGGGGGTGGCATCCACTGTAGCCCTCCTTCCTCCCATTCATCTTTCCTGTTAGATGAGATTGAAGGGAGCAGAGTCAGATAATAGCATTCCTCCCGAAGAACTGAGTTGGAAGCAGGTCAGAATTTAAGGCGGCTTCTGTACTTCAAAATACTCAGCAAGCAGGTGCCATGCTTTGCTTTCATTTTCAGAGCACTAACGGAAAGGACTCCTGTAACAAAAGACAGATTAACAAGAGGAAATTAGAAACTTAATGTATATGTCATACATCCATGGGAGATACCCAGACCATAAGTACTCCTCAGAGAGGTGAGTTGCAATTCCAACTGATATAGCATATTCAACAAAGCACAATAAAGTTTTAGAGATGTGACAAGACAAGGAAAAGGACTATGAGTCGCTGTGAGCATACTTATGGGAAGGCAACAAGTAGCAAAGCTTGTTAACTTAGATTGCTCTGGTACCGCCAGATGGGGCCCAAGGGGGTCCCTCTATCGGACCTCAACTCAGTCTAATGGGTCCTTGATGTCTTCTTACTTACAGAAAGGAATCTCAGGACATGTCAGTGAGAACCATAGGCAGATTTATTAGATGAGAAAATAGGGAAAGAGGCATAGCTCAGATGGAGCGGATCAGACTGGTCCATTAACAAAGCATGAGGCCAGATTTTAGGAGGTTGCTGAAGTGGGCTGGAGTCTGGGTTGGTCACTGTCTCAGTTCTGGTTTTGCAAGGTGGCTCCTGAGAAGTCCTTACCACTTGAGTGGGCAACTGGTCTATGTGAGATGACTGCTTTTGCTTAGGACATTCTTGGTATTGGAGGCTCCACTGGAATCTGAGGTGACTGCAGGGTTAGGGGAACATTGGAGCACTGTAGGTGCCCATTATCGGTTGATTGTCCATGTAAGTCTTTTTCAGATATCGTTAGTCTTTAAGGGGAATGCGAAAGGTTGTGCAAATTTAGGGCTGATCAATCTTGCAATGCCAGCTCTTAGATGGGCCCTCCCTAAATGACTAACGTTCCCAAATGCAGGGCCCAGCAAGGGTCTGACCGGAAGTTTTAGATAATGATGCAGACATCTACAAAATAAATGGCAAGCTTTATTTTGCTTATAGTTACATGGTTAGGTCCAAGTTGCTTTTTGTCCCCGACAGCGTCCAATGGAAGCACAAATCATGATTTTAATGAGTAACAGGTTAAGGACCTGGGTGTGTATGTGCCCTTTGGCTTCATGGTGGTCTCTGACCATCTTAATTTCATCTCTAGGCCAAGAAGGGGCACAAAGGTTTTTTTTTTTTTTTTTTTTTTTTTTTTTTAAGAATTTCCCACAAGGCACAAAACTCTGTTAACCCTTGTCTTGTAGTTAACCTTTGTTTTCCTCAGTAGAAGTCTGTATAACTCTTGTCTGGCTTTTAGGCAAATGCGAGGCTTCCTGTATCAGCTCCTTCTTAATTGTCTTCAGCTCAACAATGCATCATTTAGGGAGACATATTTTGCTATCCCATTGCTGGTTATCAGCAGTACAGTAGTCCCCACTTCCTTTGTGATGCCTAGAACACATGTTCTAAAACCCCCAGTGGGTGTCCAAAATGAGGATTGTGCTAAATCCATATATTCTGTTTCTTCCTGTCTATACCCACTTATGATAATGTTTAAATTGTAAATTGGACACAAGAAGAAATTAACAACAGCATCATAAGACAAGGATAAATAAGTTATGTGATTTTTTTTCCTCTCAAAATAACATACTGACTTAGTTTTCTTTTTGTGATACTACAAGATGACCTGGTACCTGCATGGTGAGATTAATTAGTAAGCCAAGGCACACAGGCATTGTGGTATAGAGCTAGGCTTCTACTGGCCTTCTTTATGCTCAGAAGGGAATCATCTGCTTCAGATGGTCCTGGCTGCATCTTTTTTCTCAGGAAGTTGAAGACTTAACTGTTTTTTGCTTTTAAGGAAATATTTTACAGCTTTCTTTGGTATATCTGAAATATTACTTTGATGTCATTGTTAAGTAAAATAAGGATTATATAAACATAAGCCCTGTGATAGTACAATCATGACAGTGGATCTGATAACTGAGATGACCAAAGACTGTGAATGGGTGGGTAGCATATATAGTGTGGATACACTGGATGAAGGGATGACTTGTGTCTGGGGTGGGGAGAGCTGTAGGACATAAGATTTCACTGTTATTCTGGACAACATCCAGTTTGAAGATTATGAATTGTTTCTTGGAAATTTCCATTTAATATTTCAGGCTCAATTGACTTCAGGTAACTAAAACTTAGCCTGGGACTGATGTGGGGTAAGGGGAGTAGTTCTGCCAGCAGAATTTCCAACAGCTTGTGAGCATGACCTTGGCTTTGGTCTGCTGAAAGCGCATGTTGACTAGGGTTTTAAGCCCTCCATCAACTCCTGTGAGTCAGCTCACAGCAGACCTGAACTGGTTGGTCTGTGGGAGCCTACATGGATTGAGGTAGTTAATGGGCCACAGGGTGGAACCTCTCACCCTACCCAGCTTCCCGCCTCCTCCCAGAGGGCTCTGCTTTCTAAGGGCCTGTCTGGGGAGGTCTTGGCCTAGGGCCATCCTTGGCAGCAGAGACAAACCGCAGGCAGCAAGGTTTGCATTGATTTTTCCATTTAGGAGGAGCTGCTGGATGAGAGATCATCCCCACCCATCAGCAGCGTGCACCTGCCTGCCTGGGACTCTCCATTGCCAAGGTGTGGCCCGCAGACCTTCTGGGATGTTGAGCATTCTGGACAGGACAGGGCAAGTATCAGGCTGGGAAGG